GTCCAGGACGAGATTGTGGCTAGGTTATGTCCAGAGCGAGATTGTGCCTAGGTTATGTCCAGAACGAGATTGTGCCTAGGTTATGTCCAGGACGAGATTGTGCCTAGGTTATGTCCAGAGCGAGATTGTGGCTTGGTCATGTCCAGGACGAGATTATGTCTAGATCATGTCAGGACGAGATTATGTCTAGATCATGTCAGGACGAGATTATGGCTAGATCATGTAGAGGGCGAGGCTTGGCCATGAACAGGACGAGATTGTGGCTAGGTTATGTCTAGGACGAGATTGTGGTTAGGTAATGTCCAGAGCGAGATTGTGGCTAGGTTATGTCCAGGACGAGATTGTGGCTAGGTTATGTCCAGAGCGAGATTGTGGCTTGGTCATGTCCAGGACGAGATTGTGGCTAGGTTATGTCCAGAGCGAGATTGTGGCTAGGTTATGTCCAGAGCGAGATTGTGCCTAGGTTATGTCCAGAACGAGATTGTGCCTAGGTTATGTCCAGGACGATATTGTGGCTAGGTTATGTCCAGAGCGAGATTGTGCCTAGGTTATGTCCAGAGCGAGATTGTGGCTAGGTTATGTCCAGGACGAGATTTTGGCTTAACCATGTCCAGAGCGAGATTGTGGCTAGGTAATGTCCAGGACGATATTTTGGCTAGGCAATGTCCAGAGCGAGATTGTGGCTTGGCCATGTCCAGGACGAGATTATGGCTTGGCCATTCCAGGACAGGTGAGGCTTGGCCATGTCCAGGACGAGATTGTGGCTAGGCCATGTCCAGGACGAGATTGTGGCTTGGCCATGTCCAGGACGAGATTATGGCTTGGCCATTCCAGGACGAGATTATGGCTTGGCCATGTCCAGGACGAGATTATGGCTTGGCCATTCCAGGACGAGATTTTGGCTTGGCCATGTCCAGGACGAGATTATGGCTTGGCCATTCCAGGACGAGATTATGGCTTGGCCATGTCCAGGACGAGATTATTGCTTGGCCATTCCAGGACGAGATTATGGCTTGGCCATGTCCAGGACGAGATTTCGTCTGGGTCATGGACAGGGCGAGATTGTGCGACACCTTCTCCTCGAAGTGTATTGGATCAGGTTACTAAATCTGGGCCAGCACTCCGTCTTAAAGTCATACCCGAGGAGCATCTCCATACTTTACATTATGTAAATAACAGTTAGATTTAAACCGGTGGATATGAGTGCCCAGTGCTTGATCGTGCTGGTGCTGGTGTCTATATTGTTTAAGGGATCACTTGTGTGTGTGTTTGCTCAACTTGGAGCAATCGTTGAAGCAATGCTTTGGATCCATGTGAGGGCAGGTGCCAGTAGTAATGTTAGTGTGGAATTCAGACAGTGTTCAAACATCAGTCAAGTAATGGTTGTTCCTCTGCGAAACTGGACTCAATCGAAATTAAACGCATGCTTTGTAATGGATGAAGTAGAGACGTTGTGGGTGGTGAATTTCCGTGGATGTTTACTCTTTTTGGACTGTTTGAAAATGGGAAATTGGTAAAAGCTGCATCTAAACTTCTGATGAGTCAGAAAAGGATGACACAATATCACCCTCTGTAGAAGTAGCTATCGTTAGTGATATCCATGTTGAAACAAAATGGCAAATAAAGATTGGCACCGACCTTGAAAGGACGCCATCTCTGTGGCATCGAATCTTAATATTAATGAAATACAAATATCTCAAAGAGAAGGGTGATTACAAATTCCGGACTTAGGCTCTTCTCTCTTTTAACCTTATGTGGTCAAGCATGACTGGATATGGCTTAATACACCATGAGTATACTTACAACACGTACGTCGTGCTTACGTACAAATATCAATCACATAATGCATGCAATAACATTTTTGGTATGCAGCTGTACCCATTGTCAGTAACTATTGAAACTCTACCTCGCCTATGGTTCAGTGGTGAGACCGTCTGGTACTTGTCGTTGCCCTGGCTGGCGCTAGGAATTAGGGTTCTAAACCATGGACAGGTCAGCTAGGAGACAGCATACTGTGAGGGGAAGTCGTGTTTAAACAGCGACATGCTGTCTCAATGAGCTGACCGGTAGTGGAAGCAGTCACACACATACGATCATGTACGTCGCAATATATATACTACCCATCAAACGTTTAGACTCACAATATGTTATATATATATGTTACATCGAAGATGAATTCCTCCACTAACTTGGTATAACCAACTGAAAACCTTATGCAGATGAACTGCACGAGGATCATGCATCAAATTGCTGAAAAGCATGTGCAAATATAGTGCATGTGAACAGCTGACTTTTGGTGTAAAGTTTTGTTAAGAATTCACCAATTTTCACTGAGTTCCATCAGTTATTGAACTAATGACAATAATCTTTTCAACGTTACGAATTTGCTTTACAATACATCAATTCATGTTTAGAGAATACATTTAAGCAGTACGGAATATTTTGCAAAATCTACTTCAGAACAATTGACTGAAGTAAGTGGCTACAATTACACTAGTGAGTCTAAACTGTTGATGGGTAGTCTAAGTACAGAATTCGAAGACATCTCATTTTCAGTTCATCTGATCGCATTTCGTGGCGTCTAGTAACTTGCATTGTCATATTGCACATACCAATGAATTAAAGTATTAAAATTCCGTATCACAGTTTCCGTATAGAGCCTCACCACACCCTTTCACAACATATGCTGTGGAAGTATTTCAGCAAATACGAAGCATACATTCACCACAAAAGAAGTTATCTTTGGAGTGTCGTTTCACTGATAAAGGAGAAATGTACTCGGAAGTCGTGATGAGATCATGCAGTACATGAGCAGTAAGATGAAGGCGGGCAAAGAAGGACCGGCAGACATTTGAGAGTATGCTCTGTTTTGAGTAAACAGGTGAATGGAAACCTCCCTCTCACCCCTTTCAATCCTTGTTTCAAAGACGTAAAGGTCGGTAATGGACCTGTGATTGAATAATAATACTGTAGGCCGTGGTGGTGGGGCCACCTTGATCAGTCGACAAAATAACTATTTATGACACATGTTTATTTATTGCAATTTACTGCGATTCAGTGACAAAATACGTTGGTGAATCACCAGTGCCTACTTCTCCTTGGCTGCACAAACCTACTCGCATCTATGTCTGTTGGTGTAGTACTCTCATGTACCCGTCCACCGTGAGAAGGGTATTTACATACTTGGATTGGTTCAATATCATGTCTGACTTGGTGGCGAGGGAGGTGGGCACAGGACGCATACGGTTCAATATACTCAAAGTACCCAATTACAATCTTACTATTTCAGCGACTATTTCATGACGACATAGTTTATTCACTTGTGTGTACGTAACAACAATGTCAGACACTCTCTTAGTCAAAGACCTCGATCCTTACAAAGTATGTATGTTAAAGGCTTAGCTGAAGACGTACTAGCATACAGCTGAATGGTTTGTATAATCAGACATAGCACTGTTTGTCAAGGCATTTCTGCTTATCCTTTACAATTACATATATGAGACCAATTTGTTTTGGGATACCAACTTCTTTATTTGTTAAAAACGAGTTAATTCTTACTGCTAAAGGTACGTTCACCTCAGAAGGTGGAGGGTTACACCTTCGTAAGCGTATTGTTTAACAAATAAAGAAGTTGATATCCAAAACATACTATAATCAGTGCTTCATTACTTCTGAATGTCATTCAAAGGACTAATTACATATTTTCGATGTTGTGCAATACGATGAAAGAAGGGAAGAATATAAGTACAGTAGATCTTGAAATCCTTTTACACGAACAGGAGAAAAATATATACTTTAATGAATTAAAACATCAAAATATATTTCGAATCATCCTGTTTTTGTACCGCCTTACGCACTCGCCAGGAGTTTCTTTTATTCGGCTTCTTAAATAATAATTATATAGAAGAAGTATATAGTTAGACAAGCCTGTAGTGTAAACCGTGACCAAGGCCATTTTCATACCTCCTGCGCACCATCAACTCATCTAAGATGAATTCAAATCCTTATGTTTATACAGCAGGCTTCACGTGTTAACGTTTCTATCTGTCTTAAACAATGAGTAGTTAACTGGCTTCCCATGCTATTGCAGTCCTAATCCCCATTGTACTGTACAAACACTTCCTCACACCTGATCATTTACCTCTCAATCCTTATTCTGTTCATCACTTGCTTGACAAAGGCGTACTAGAGAACCCACACCAAAACGTCGCTCTCACTGTAGTAAACAAGTTGTTCATCCATATATTGTTATCCTTCCTTAATTTCACGCCCAGTTTTCGGCGCGGCTGAATGTATGTAATGTATGTATGTATGTATGTATGTATGTATGTATGTATGTATGTATGTATGTATGTATGTATGTATGTATGTATGTATGTATGTATGTATGTATGTATGTATGTATGTATGTATGTATGTATGTATGTATGTATGTATGTATGTATGCATGCATGCATGCATGCATGTATGTATGTATGCATGTATGTATGCATTCAACGTTATGTGGCGTTTAATAGTGAAGGATGAGATAAAACACGCTTTAATGAATATTAAAAGAAGTAAGTCTATATTTGAAGGCACAGTGCCTTTGAAAAATATATGTTAATATATCTTCCGTTTCATTCCCTGTAAAAAACCCACCCGAATCTGAACATACGCGCGTATTGTCAACGATGTCTGAAGTAATGCTTGTCAGAAGGAAATATTCATAGACTAGTCAGAGCAGACCTTTCCGCTTGCTGGTTATTTACAGAGGGAGACCCTTATTTCCATCAGTTCACAAGATGCAGTCCCATGTGGGTTTTAGTCCTACGTCATATGTACCGCGGTTTAACACACCCTCAAAGCACCAGTGTACAGAGAAAGGAGAGAAGGCGGACGGGCCTGAGTAAGCTCAATGACTCCAGTGTATCGCAACAAACACGACTCAGTCTCAATATAGCGGCAGGGCTAATTACTCGACCCACATGTGGTCATGAAGTGTTTGCGCTGCATATTTGGTTAGTGTGTGTCTCCCCACCCATCCCATGATAGTTTAAGACCAGTGGCGAAAACTATCCATTGCGCTTAGATATTTAGTCTTTTCAAGTCACAGTTTTACTTACTTCACAATTTTACCTCGACCTATCCACAAGCACCATGTTGAGGATTGCAGTTTTGTTACTGTGTGTTGCGGTGATTCAAGGAGCTACGTTTGCCAGACGCTTCGTCCCAGGTATGGTTTAAACAATATTATATTCAATGAATGAATGGATCGGTAAACATGCATTACGCCTATATGCATACCTCTCCGATACAAAGGTAATACGTAATACACTGTTAATTTATCAACACTGGAAAACACACTTTAAAATTAATGGTATTAGGTAACAGTAAAACACTAACAATACATGCTATAGAAGGAAATAAGCTAGAGAAACGTTTTGTCAGGGGAAACTAGTTGTGTTACAGAGTTAACAATATTTTGATTAATGTCATCAGAAAATGAATAATTTCCATATAAAACTGATTGTAGATCAAAACCATTTTCATAGAAGAAACATCTTGATCGAACTTCCCAGGTATTTATTGATAAGGTTTACAACTCGTATACTTTATGAAATAATTGTATGCATTAACTTCAGATTCTACGAATTGATAATGAGGTATTTGGACTGTACATACACAATGGTTCTGGAAATATTGGCTACTAGAAATTATATGGATGATGATGATACACAAGCCATATCTTTGTGATTAATGGATGTGCAATATATATATATATATCATTATGGAATATATATTTTGTCAGAAAAAAATACATATGTAATTGGAGTAAAACTTCTATATGTGCCTGAAATGTCGATAGTTTCATGCATTCATAATTGACAACTAAATGCGATAGACATTTTTTTATGAGATGAACTGTGTATTAAAAACCGTCTGCAGTAACTATCAGTCGATAGTATTGTGACGCATGTAAACACCCGTCTTCATAGTGTCTGCATTACCTCCTTAATACAATATACATTACAGTTAACGAGTGTCATTGTGTTTCCGGTGTTATTAAACATTAGATAACCAGTAATTATTTTACAAAAACAAGCTTGTTTAAAGATATTGAACATACTGAAGGTATGTGACTGTCTATCTATGACTTCGGCGTCTATATTTTCAATAGGACGTCAATAGTGGTAGGCTAGAGGATAGGAACAAGTCTTTGATACCACAAAATGTTATATTACTTAAAATCGACAGGCAATTAACCCCGACATTGTACAATTTTTTAGCGATAAACATGTTTACTGTTTATAGGTTTGACATATGAAGACATATTTATATACCATGCACCCTTAAATAGTAAGAAACATACCAATGTATAACATACACAGTTAAGTACTGGTAAAAATATACCAGTGTATAACATGATCAGTTAAATAATGGTAAGAAACATACCAGTGTATAACATGCGCAGTAAAGTACTGGTTAGAAACATACCAGTGTATAACATGCACAGTAAAGTACTGGTTAGAAACATACCAGTATATAACATGCACAGTAAAGTACTGGTAAGAAGCATACCAGTATATAACATGCACAGTTAAGTACTGGTAAGAAGCATACCAGTATATAACATGCACAGTTAAGTACTGGTAAGAAGCATACCAGTATATAACATGCACAGTTAAATACTGGTAAGAAACATACCAGTATATAACATGCACACTTAAGCAGTATAACATACCAGTGTATAACATGCACAGTTAAATACTGGTAAGAAACATACCAGTGTATAACATGCACACTTAAGTACTGGTAAGATACATACCAGTGTATAACATGCACAGTTAAGTACTGGTAGGAAGCATACCAGTATATAACATGCACAGTTAAGTACTGGTAAGAAGCATACCACTATATATACCAGTGTATAACATGCCAGTACATGCACAGTTAAGTACTGGTAAGAAGCATACCAGTATATAACATGCACAGTTAAGTACTGGTAAGAAGCATACCAGTATATAACATGCACAGTTAAGTACTGGTAAAAACATACCAGTATATAACATGCACAGTTAAGTACTGGTAAGAAACATACCAGTGTATAACATGCACAGTTAAGTACTGGTAAGAAGCATACCAGTATATAACATGCACAGTTAAGTACTGGTAAGAAGCATACCAGTATATAACATGCACAGTTAAGTACTGGTAAAGAATACCAGTACATGCACAGTTAAGTACTAACATGCATGCAGTTAAGTACTGGTAAGAAGCATACCAGTATATAACATGCACAGTTAAGTACTGGTAAGGAACATACCAATGTATAACATGCACACTTAAGTAGAAAGATACATACCAGTGTATAACATGCACAGTTAAGTACTGGTAAGAAACATACCAGTGTATAACATGCCCATGTATATTGTTTAAACAATATTTATTCTTGCACTTAAGGCATGTACAGTGGGATTGACACTGGTGTCTGAGCGGTCTAGGTGTCTGACTTTGTGTGCTGGCGATTAATTAGGTGCCTGACTCTGAGGGTGTGGGTTCGAATCCCGGATGGGACTCAACCCAACAAGAGTACTAGAATCTGTACTTTACTAAGAAAGTGTAATCCCAAATATAACATATGTTACATTTGACCACTTTCTAAATGGCATTGCGTATTCCTATCTTTATATGTAAGGGAACAGCTGAAGCTATTTTCCAAATTGAAGGAAATAATGACTTTGATGGAGATAAATTAAATAGTCAACTCAGCGATTTGGAAATATTTTTGCTTAGTATTTGAAGAATGCGATTACTTATCAAGTCAGGTCCTACTGATTTGCGGATATCAAGAGTTGATATTATATCTTCAATTTCTATATCAGTTATGCGTATTTCGTCTAGTGACGAGTTAGACTAGGGTACATGATCTTCAATATCGTCATCTTCGTTATCTACAGTGTCTTGTCTAACAAAGTAATCATTAAGTAAATTTGCTTTGTCAATATCATTTTCATAGACAATTCCATCATTTTCTAAACTCGGAAACAATTTTGATTTATTCGACTTATTTGTGTAGTTCTTTATAATTTTCCACCAAAGTTTGCTATCCGATAGGATGCTTAACTTCTCATCAAGCTTGACATTGTAATCTTGTTTGCATATTCGAACTTCGGAAATAACTGTTTTTCGCCCACTCAAGTAGTAAGAAACATTGCAGTGTATAACATGTCCACTTAAGTAGTAAGAAACATTGCAGTGAATAACATGCCCACTTAAGTAGTAAGAAACATACCAGTGTATAACATGTCCACTTAAGTAGTAAGAAACATACCAGTGTATAACATGCCCACGTACTTAGTAAGAAACGCATCAGTGTATAACATGCCCACTTAAGTAGTAAGTAACATACCAGTGTATGGTATGCCCACTTAAGTAGTAAAAAACATTGCAGTGAATAACATGCCCACTTAAGTAGTAAGAAACATACCAGTGTATAACATGTCCACTTAAGTAGTAAGAAACATACCAGTGTATAACATGTCCACTTAAGTAGTAAGAAACATTGCAGTTTAATAACATGCCCACTTAAGTAGTATGAAACATAGCAGTGTATAACATGCCCACTTAAGTAGTAAGAAACATACCAGTGTATAACATGCCCACGTACTTAGTAAGAAACGTACCAAGTGACATACCAGTGTATAACATGCCCACTTAAGTAGTAAGAAACATACCAGTGTATAACATGCCCACTTAAGTAGTAAGAAACATACCAGTGTATAACATGCCCACTTAAGTAGTAAGAAACATACCAGTGTATAACATGCCCACGTACTTAGCAAGAAACATACCAGTGTGTAACCTGATTAGCCGATCGTCGACACGTACGTGTGCGTAAAACCATAAACAATGTCAGAAAGACGACGTCAGTTTCAAGTTTTGAAGTTATAACTGATAGTTCGGATACCTCTTTGTGGGACACATATTATTGGTTTAAAATCGAACATAGCTTCCGATTCACTGATCACGAGTACATACATTATGGTGGAACTATGCCCGGAAATAAGATAACTGGTTGTCTGTCTCACAGTCCCTGAACCCCAAAGTTGTCTACCGCCCAACCCTTCCTGGAATGAGAAAGTCCTAAATGAAGCAAATCTAGATTTTCCTCAGAATCTCCCATCGTACGGGCGCACTTTTTCAGTTTTAACCTATTTGTTTCTATGAAGATGGATGATTTGTCACAACTTCATCGTTGTTGTTTCAGGCGAGTCCCGGATCCTCTCTGATGGGACTGTTTGTGAGGGTAGCCGGAGGTTGAATGACCAGTGGCAGACACCTGGCAAGTGTAACAAGTGTACCTGTCTTCAGTCGGGGCAATCTGTGTGTGAAAGGTGGGTATATGTCTCATCTGGGAATTTCCCTTGAGGGTCTAAAGAAGGGGGTAGTGTCTTGATGTGCAGAACAGAACAAACAGAATTTAGAAGCCTTGACTTGACATCTTTGGTTAGACAGAAATTCGATCTGACGCTGCCTTTTACGGAGGTGTTCTATTATATCTCATATAAAAGTGTCACATGGAGCGAAAGAGCTGGTGTTGATGAGATTAGTACAATAAGGACGACGGTCATATATGATGTAAATAAGTGCTTACTTGTAACCGTTCAAATGTATGCTCAAAGGCAAAAGTTATTGCAACACGCAAACGACAAACAGAATCATTGGTAAATTGCTGCGAATGAAATGTCATTACCTGGAAAGACAAATGTTTCACGGTAAAGATCATCAGAACAGCGCACCTGGCATATGCAACTGAGCCACACCACAAGACTGGTTCACAAGCAAGTTGACATGGTCAGTAGCGAGTTAGTTCACCTTGTGCATTGACAGACCGGACACCTCACCTCACTGTGGCCACTAAACGTCGATGAGAGTCCTGGGGAAGATCCTTGCATATCCGAGGAAGGATTTGATTGAATTCCATATTGGAGGATTCGCATGACGTCGTGAACGTCTCTCCATTTTATCCCAGGCGTGTTCAGTGGGTGACAAATCAGGGCATGCGGGGTGGGGTAGGAAACGTAACTCATCGGCGAACAGAATTCTTCTCCACTCACGTGCTCACAATCCAAGTGCTCTGACGTCGATGTATGTTCTGGTGTCAGAATTGGCCGTCAAACTGGTCGTCTAGACGTCGTCGACATGCTCACGCAGATCCTCACATCTGTTGCCAGTTATGGTACTCGCTGTAAGGCTTGCTGTCTGGAACCTGTGTCTCGAATCCATCAGTCCTGACGTGGGGTCGTTATTGGTGGGCGGCCACAATCGGACGGTCCCTAACTTAATTTTTGCAGAAAACGTAGCCATAAGTGGCAGATGGGGTTTCTGTGGACGTTGAATCAACGAGCAACGGCACACTGGGAAGTACAGGACTAAAGCATAGCCGCAGCTCGCCATCTATCATTTTATCCCACTCGTGAAGGTCCGGGTTAGAATGTGCCTTCAGTTACCCATGCTTGTCGTAAGAGGTGACTAACGGGATCAGGTGGTCAGGCTCGCTGACTTGGTTGACACATGTCATCGGTCCCCACATTTCACAGATCGATGTTCATGCTGTTGATTACTGGATTGTCTGGTCCAGTTTCGATTATTTACAGACCACCGCCATATAGCTGGAATATTGCTGAGTGCGACGTAAAACTAAACTCGAATATGTCATGCTTCTCGAATATGTCATGCTTCTCGAATATGTCAGCTTCTCGAATATGTCATGCTTCTCGAATATGTCATGCTTCTCGAATATGTCAGCTTCTCGAATATGTCATGCTTCTCGAATATGTCATGCTTCTCGAATATGTCATGCTTCTCGAATATGTCAGCTTCTCGAATATGTCATGCTTCTCGAATATGTCATGCTTCTCGAATATGTCATGCTTCTCGATGACATGCTTTTCGAATATGTCATGCTTCTCGAATATGTCATGCTTCTCGCAACTTTCGTGCAAACCCAACAACCTCTACGTTACGTTTCTTCGACTATTTTAACACACTCTTTCTCAGCTTCAAATCCAAACTTTCAGTCACAAGATTACCAGTGAAAACATATCCATGTCACAAAAACGCTTGCCTCTCAATATACAAACACATCCTTTGTCCTTATGACCATATAATTCCATCTTGAAACAATGCTAATGGGTTGTATACTTTGTTGTGTTCGCATGATAGTATAGTTGTATATAGGGAACGTGTTGGACAATAAAACACATTACTGCAGTATCTTTACTGTGACGATACCGTTCTTACGTGTGATTGTGTTGTTGTAGTTGCGGTGTGTCAGTGCGGTTACAAGACACCACCGGGAAGTTCTTCTGTTACCGCTCGGCAACCACATACCCTGGCTGTTGTGATGACGTCATATGTCAGGGAGACACAAGGTTCAACTTCATGGACTTCCTGAGATCCGCGTCACTGTAGGCGGTGACGTCGTGATGACACCGTGCAGTGAGGGCGCCGTTGCTGAATGGTCTACCACATTTTGAATAAGTCATAATATTTTCTACCTTTTGATGGAATAAACGTATTCATGTGCCAATGGGTTCGTCATTTACTGTATAGTTGATTGCTGGGAACCCTCAAACTCTCCACCAGTCATCTCGATGTGTATCTTTAGGGGATTTGCTGACCGACACGGTTAAATAGTCTGTGAACAAATATTTATTACTGTCTATGATACTGAAAGGGAACGGTCACCAAGCACATCTGTTCGTATCCCTGTTGCGTAGATTGATACTCACGATGTCAATCACTTGATTGTCTAGTCCAGACTCGATTAGATATATAACAAGAATATTGTTGAGTGCGGCGTAAAACAACAAAGAACAAATCTTATGAGTTATGAGTAATATAGTGAGTTTGGTTTACCGATCTGGTGTCTCAGTAATGTTCATGGGGCGAGTCTACTCTGATGAAGGTGAAGTAGATTAACTGCTGACAGCCAAGAGTATGGGCACATTGGTTTTGAACAGTGTATGACAGAATGTAAAGCACTTTCAGATACATTTGTCACTAAGTTACCCTGGAAGTACAGAAATGAAATCAATACTCTGTAAGCAGGCTGTGTGAATGGCGGGTGCTAGGTAGAGCCGGACATGCTTTCCCCTTGGCGAACGTCTGGTGATATCACTTATTTCCAGTCTTCCATTCATGTAATTTTCTATCTGTTTTGTCCTTTACACCAAAATAAATGATCTGTTTCTGAGGATAGTCAAGACGGGGTATTCTCTTGCACTGACGATTTATGTTTACAAAATACTAATTGCCAACTTGCCTGGATTAGAATCCAGGGATGATCAATCAAAGGTTAGATCATACTCCGTCTGTACATCTCGTACTAAGCCAATCACTCTCCTTGCCAGGGCTCCTCGCGGCCAGTCCTGTACCTCCGTCGCTGAATCCTAAAATGGGAAAACAAACTATTTCTATTTGTGTATTTTCCCATCTATAGCTGTCTTTGAAGCCCTAGGGAGAGCGAGGACTGTCGTTCTGATGTGAAGAGCTATATCGTTATGCATCCCAACTGTTACAGTGACCGTAGTTCAGATACATTACTTTGCAAAACAGTATGTGAAACACTGAAACACTTCCACGGGCCTGTGTGTTCTCATTTCAGCATAAAGGCGTTTGTTTTAAGACAAGAGAAAGGACTCCGGTAAAATAGGATCGTCCAAGACCTGGATGACCTAGGAAGACCAGTGATGTCCGAGTTGTAATTCGCCTGGCAAGACACAACACCATGTCCCATTTCGGAAGAACTGTGCTGGTAATGGGGAGTGAGAGTCCCATTGTAGCATCAGGAGGGGGCAGCAGATTGCTGATCTGAGGGACCTTCGTCTAATCAGACGTCCCTTCCTCACAGATAGACACAGGCAAGGACATCCGGCGCCGTCCGAGAAGCCGCAGTTGGAGGACATGGTGAAGGGTTCCTTATTCTCATAAACGTCGCTATCTTCTAAACCTTACCAACGGCCGTTGTCGCGTTTGGAGATGCAGAGGTTATCCATTTGATTGTGGCTCAGTGATGCTGTGGGGTTGCGTTTCGTATCACTTCATACCCGTGAAGATCCGGGTTAGAATTGGCCTTAGGTAACCCATGCTTGTCTTAAGAGGCGACTAACGGGGTTGGGTGGTCAGGATCGCTGACTTGGTTGGCACATGTCATCGTATCCCAGTTGCGTAGATCGATGTTCATACTTGCTGATCACTGGATTGTCTAGTCCAGACTCGATTATTTACAGACCGCCGCCATATAGCTGGAATATTGCTGAGTGCGGCGTTAACCAATCAATCAATCAATCAATCCATCAACCGACCGACCGACCGATCGTACCACTTCAAGTTGGATCTCAATAAACTTATCAAAATGGTCAACGTTATCAAGGTGAAATACTAAATACTGCCGGCGTGCCTCATTTTGATAACCTTTCCCTTATAAGTAGTCTGATATTTATGGATGCACAACACTGTCGAAACATTATCGTGGATGTAAAGTTCGAGCAAGAGGTCCTATTGTTCAAAACGTACAGTAATTGATACAGACACTTCATGAGGATTGGCAGAGGATTCCGATGCTGAGAATTCAACGCTTACAAACCAGTATGAGGAGACAATCAGATTGGTGGCAAAATCATGATGCCAATTCTCTCCGGCATTGTTGTTCACGTTTTCTGTGTATTTCCTGAGATTGCAAGAAAATTGTTACCAAATTTCAATTTCAGTTTTGTTTTTTGTTTTGATCGGTGTAATTTGATGTATAGCTCACATGTATATTCTCCCAGAAAAGAAACGCATAGGTCGTATTGATATATGAAATTTCAATATATATTTTTCAAAATTAGTGTTTGTTATAATTTCGCCATTATAGTGCTGGTTTAGATACATGGAACGAATGAGCAGCACAAAGACGCTCAATCTTCGGAGACTTTTATCCACGTTTACGTTCGAAAGTGTCAACTTGCATGAACATGTCATGGGGAAAAAGTGGTTCGCAATATGCACGTGCAGTTCTGCGGAATCTTGACCAGGGACATGGCCAATGTAAGACCCTTTCGCTTTTAGACGGTCATTAGCCTTTTTCAGCTATATGAAAGGCTATCGTTATCCAGCAACTCACTGCTATAAATCGAAACATTGCCATTGGACGTCTGGAGGCTGGGAAGTCTCTATCTGCTGCAACACAATGAGACATCACCTCAATGTTCACCAGAGTACCATCAGTCGTTTGTTGGACCGATATGAACAAACCAATTCAAACCAAGATCGGCCTCGAAGTACTAGATCATGGATTACCACTGCAACGCAGGCTAGGTACATCCGGGTACTTCATTTGTGGAATCAACTGTCACAGAAACAGCAAAGTTCTGCAAATACACCGTCTGATTTGAGGAGAGCGTCGGCGCAAACTATTCGTAATCGTTGACGAGAAGCTGGAGGACTACGTCAGAGGACCCTATTTTAGCCCTGTGACTACATTGACTTCGACGTCGACAATGATGCAATAACGTTCGATTCTGGAATCTACAAAAACTGGTGACGTATATGGTTCAGTGACGAATCACGCTGACGGAAGAGACCGGGCCTATCGACGTCCAAATGAAAGTTTTGCCTAAAATTGTGTCGCCCAGGTTGGCGGATATGGTGGTGTGAGTGTCATGATGTGGGGATCCATATCCTTTACGCAGAAATCTAACCTTGTGCGCCCTTTGGGCAATTCAAATGCTATTCGGTGCAGAGACGAAATCTATCTCCTTCCAGCAAGATAATGCCAGGCCTTACACAACACATGCCACTATTCAGTATCTACAGAATGACGGACATGTGATCTGTTATACTGTGAAGTTTGGCTGCAACTGATACATAATTACATGTGTTATCTCACTTTAAAGTTAGCAGATCAAATTCGTGAAAATACTCCTATGCGTTGCTTTTGGGGAGTGTATATGTAACAGGATATTGTATTTATAGTTTTTAGGAATAAGGTTTTATATTTATCGTTTTAAGTTGTTTTATGTTCATTAGTTGTATGTGCTTGAATTAAGTATCAAAGCAGTTGGTCTGTTTAGGGTGGACAGGGTATTTCATTCCTGCCTCAACAATCTAGCTTTTAATACAACAGCCCTGAGGTTCCTAATTGATTGATAATATATTACTACCGCTTTCCTCCGTAGCATTTGCACACTTTTCTAGTCAAACTGCTTATTGTTTACAACTCTACACTGGACAAGCCACTCAACCTAGCACAGGTTAGATATTTACTTTATATTGACCTAAATCGAATTCTAACCTATCCATTAAATATGCTATAAATAATATAAAGTATTGTAATTATTAATAATATCAAGTAGCCAATATACTTTTTTATATATCAGTATGAGGTGAGGTGAAATTGGGTTTTACGTCGTGCTTGAGAATATTTCGCTCATATGACGGTGTATGTGCGGCTGCTCTTACTAGCCCAGACTTAAAGCTGGTTTTATAGTGCTAGCCCACTGAGATATCATGCCGCAGTGAAGCATGAATACCCCACTCAGACACATTATACTGACTCCGAGCCGACCAGTCCTTGTTGTACCCATTAATGCCGAGCGCCAGGTAGGGACCAACAAGTACCATATTTTAACATCTTTTGGTATGACGCGGTCGGGGATCGAACTCGCGACCTTCCGACGGACGCTCTAACCACTGCACCACGGAGGCGGTCTATATCAGTATGAAATGTGTAAATGTATGTATGTGTGATTGCATGATTTGATTGGTAGTTTGAATGTTATGCCGAGTAGGAAGTTGGCTTTTGATAATGTAATAATAAGATATTGTCATTATTATTTGTTTTAGGAATGTGATACTCCCGTACTTAGTGTGTCACCCACAGGGTATGTAAACAATCTTTTCTATTTAATTATCTATCATTTAATTATCCATCATTTATATGTTAAATTATAACAACTGTGTAGTGTGTTATGTATCAATAATAATAATAACTGATTTGGAACCAGTTATATGTACCTGTACGTTTTGCATGTTTAGGTTAATGTATATCATTCTTTCTTATACGTTTTACAGGGTGATTGACTGATCAGTTCATCGATTGATACTATGGAATAAATGTCACCTCCCAAACACAAACACAGCTTGTTCATTGTTATTGGCTCACACCTGCATCATATATATGCTAACCATTCCATTAATATCAACGTGCCAATTTCGTCTGTTCAGTTCGATCGGAAACGTCAATAGTTTCAGATATTAATGTAATTTAACCCTTTAAACGATTTTCTGCCACTGCAGAATTCATCTGAAGCATTTTACCTGTACGAATTGTTCTTGACACAGCTACACAACGTTACTCTGCGAATGGTGAGTTAAGCATTTTGAATGAGAGTGTCTAACTTGTTTTTCTAAAAAATCACCATACACTTGATAGAAAGAATAGGAAGTATGTCCTATTTCTAAGGCCAAAGGCTATCTGATACCTCATGATCAGTAATTTTTGTATGAATTGTGTATCAAGACGTTCTGAGACAATCAGCACGTTAG